TCCTTTAGCTCCCAACTTCCAGCCCCAGCAGCCAATGAGAAAATGCAGATAAGATTATGTCACTTTTCTCCCCAGAGCTCTCCAACAACTTCCTGGAAGAATTTAATCTGAAGTCGTTACCTTGTGCCACTCTCCAAGGTCCAACCCACAGTCTCTTTCTGATTTCATCTTCTCACACCCTGAACACCTGTTAGATACCTGACTGCTCTGCTGTTCCTTAGGGACTCAAACACATGGCCATCCCAGGAATTTTCATGTTATTTCTGCCATGTTCTTTCTCTGAGGGTCCACATGGTTTGCTCCTTCAAAGATCTGACCAAATTGTCACCATCTGAAAAGCCTCTCAAATCTTCACATAAATTGGTACCTTTTGCAGCCAGCATAGAAGCAAGACAGGATAATCCCATGGGGTGCCCATTCATATCCAAGCTGCTCCACTTTCCACCCAGCTCCCTGCTTGTGGCCTGGGAAAACATCAAAGGATGACTCAAGTCCTTGGGTCCCTGTGCCCACGCAGGAAACCCAGAAGACGCTCCTAGTTACAGTCTTTTGGGGATAAAACAGGAGATGGAAGACCTCTCAACCCTCCTTTTCTCTGTAACTCTGCCTTTCAAACAAAAAAATAAATCTTATTATTGGTACCTTTCAAGAAGGGTGCTGGGCACAGTTGAATGCTGGAGTTCTGGTTCAGACAGCTGGGTTTGAGTCCTGATTCCAACATTGATTCCAACTTCCTCCTAATGCTTGCCTAATGCTTACCTAGAGAGGCAGCAAATGCTGGCTCAGATCATCACCACCCACATGGGAGACCCAGGCTGAGTTCTGCCTCCTGGCTTTGGTCCAGGTGTGCAGACATTGGTAGAATGAACCAGCAGATGGAAGATCTCTCTGTGCATGCCTCAGTCCCTGTCCTTCAAATCTAACAGAAAAAAAAGTGGGGTATCTTTCCCATCTTTTACTACACTGTCTGCCCCCTTATGCCAATACAGGTTTGTTTAATGGTTTTAAAAATAAGCCATGTTTATCTTAGCAAATACAGAAAGTTTTTTTAAAAAATTAAAGTGACTATATAAAAATAATCCATGACCCCAAACCCAGGAATAAATGACTAATACCATCTATATTTCTTTCTACTATTTTCCTGTCCCTCCCTCTTAGTCTAACTCTTTTTCACTGTTAATGATACACAAAATTCAAACAATCATCTGGATCTGCAAAGTTTATTTTGAAAAGCAATGATCTCCTAACTTTTATTTCCCCTGTGCAAGGTCAATCGTATCTAATTTTACCGACTTTTATTTTTCCTTCCTCTTCTTGTTATTACCTCCAAATCCCAAAGGGCGGAAGAAAGGCCAGGATGGATGGAAGGAGAATGTGTAGGCATCACCTGCTGACTTCCTCCTACGGGAGATGACCATTTTGACTCTCTTTTCCTTCTGCCCTACCACACTTGAACATACTACATCTCTCCATCTTGTTAATGTATGAAGTATTTGTCTACAAACTAATGTTCAATGTTGGGGCTAAATAGGGGCTGCACAAACACACTGAATTATGTAACATTCCATTATTACTTTTCCTTTCCAATTATTTCTACTTTGCATCAAATTACTAATTCTGTTGTTTCCTATTTGCTTGGACTTCTGTTTTCTTATCAGTAATGAAACCCAAATCTTATCCATAAATATTCAGACCTGCTCCATGTCTGATCATTGTAATTTCTTGCAGCTCTCATCCACCAATACCTTATGAAATGGAATGGTACCCCTGCACATATCTACACATTACCCATACCCTGGACTCCCTTTTTGCCATCATTCTAAAGATCTTTTGTTTCCTGGCTCCAACATCTTCACTTTTCTTAGCTTACTCTAAGCTTGTGCTTCTGAAGCTTCCTAACAAAGTCTGCATGGACTTTCTTAGCTGCCCTGCTCTAACTTCCTGTTATCATGCCTGGGAGGCAGCAAGTACTCAGGCCTCTTCAGCCTACATGAGATGGAGTTCTAAGATCCTGGCTTCAGCCTGGCCCAGCCCTGGTGTTGTAGGCATCTGGGGAGTGAAGTAGGTGATGGAAGGTCTGCCCTCACCCCCACAGCCCACTCCACCTCATCTCTTTGCCTTTCAAATAAACAGATAATTTTTAAAAAGAAGAAGAAGGAAAAAAAAAACAGAAAAGCACTTGGAAGACATTTGGAAACATTTAATGTCTCAAAATGCTTTTCTTTTTATGCTCACAGTACATTAATAATTAGTCTAGAAACATCCTATGTCTTTAGAATTCTGAAGGCATTGCTCCAATTGTCTTCTAGCTCCCAAAGTTTCTATGGAGAACTGAAACCATCCTAATTAATGATCCTTTGTGAGTGGCATAGCTTAGCTCTTTGCAAGGCTTGAAGCTCTTTCTTTGGCTCAAAGCTGAAAGCTCATGATGCTGCTGTGATCGTGGGACTGTTTTCACCCATTGTGTAATCTAGCCAGCCATGGTAACCTCTGGAAACACATATTTTTCAATTCTGGGAATTTTTCCTCAGTTCTTTCTTTGACAACGCCTTTCTCTCTCTTGTCTCTTCCCTCTTCTTTCTAAAATCCCTGTTAGTTAAGCCTTCTGGGACGCTCCTCTAATTTTTTCTCTATCTGTCTCTGGGTCTTTTTAATCCTGCTCAGAGGGAGATTTGTTCAGCTTTTAGATTCTTCCACTGATTTTTTCAAGTTTACTGTCATATTTTAGTTTCTCAAAGCCCATTTGGTTCTTTGAATATTACTTGGTTAAACATCCCATTCTTTACTCCCCAGTTGTAATGCATGTTGGTATCTCAGGGTATTCAATCATCATGTTTTTCTCTCCCTATCACTCATGAACTGGCTCCTGCTTACATAATCTCTTGCTTCCTATTTGTCCTTTTTCTGTTTAGTCGGTTCTTGTTTGGTCTTTCCTGTTAGAAGCTCTCCACAGATGTCTAGTAAGTGCTCAACCACCTGCTCCTCTAAGGAATGAGGAAGTAGAGTACTGGTTGGTAGTCCCTAAAGCACAGGTGGGTCTGACGCACTGAGGTTTCACTCTGCGGTATAATCATGCTTTGGCTGGAAAACCCCAATATCAATACCTTCGAGTCTCTATCTCTCAAAATAAATTTCTCCAGGTTCCTATAGGAGGGGCTAGGCTTGGCTTGGCTGCCATCTTTCTCAAGAAAAATGTACATAGGCATTGGGCCTGATGCCATCTCCAGAGAAGAAAGCTTTTGGGTCTGCAGTAATGCACAGGAAGGAAGAAAGAGACCACACAGTAGCCTAGTGGCTGAAGTCCTAACCTTACTTGCACCGGGATCCCATATAGTCACTGGTTCTAATCCGGGCAGCCCCATTTCTCTTTCTGCTCCCTGCTTGTGGCCTGGGAAAGCAGTAGAGGATGACCCAAAGCCTTGGGATCCTGCACCTACATGGGAGACTCAGAAGAAGCTTGTGGCTCCTGGTTTGGATCAGCTCAGCTCAGGCCGTTGCAGCTACTTGGGGAGTGATCCAGTGGATGAAGATCTTTCTCTCTGTAAATCTACCTTTCCAATAAAACATAAATACATTTTTTAAAAAAATGGTTTAGGGCCCGGCGCAGTGGCATAGTGGTTAAGTCCTCGCCTTGCACACCCAGGATCCCATATGGGCGCCGGTTCTAATCCCGGCAGCCCTGCTTCCCTTCCAGCTCCCTGCCTGTGGCCTGGGAAGGCAGTCGAGGACAGCCCAAAGCTTTGGGACCCTGCACCCGTGTGGGAGACCCGGAAGAGGCTCCTGGCTTCGGGTCGGCATAGCATCGGCCCATTGCGCTCACTTGGGGAGTGAATCATCGGACGGAAGATCTTCCTCTCTGTCTCTCCTCCTCTCTGTATATCTGCCTTTCCAATAAAAAAAATAATAATAAAAATAAATCTTTAAAAAAAATGGTTTAAAAAAGAAGAAGGAGGAAAGATCTGGAGCACCCACTCCTTTACAAATTCCCAACTAAGCCTCTTTATTGTGTCCTGTGTTCCCTGTACAGATTCCATTTCTACTTCATTTGATACCACTGATTTCCACACTTTTTAGAAGGTGATTTGTGTAAACCCCAGTGGTTTTCAGCTTTCTCCTCCACCTACTGTGGATGCAGTTACTGCAAAGTTTTCTTCCAGCTCCCACCTGGGTTACTGTCTTCTCCCCTCTTTTCCTTAACCAGTAGTCATGCTTTTCACACACACCTTAACCAGCACCAAGGAGGTTTCAGTTTTCAGAAGGAACAAGATAGATATGTGTTTTCCATCTGACACCTGTACCCAGTTGTCCACATCCTACTTACTTGCTCATTATCCTTCTTACTTCATCACAACATGAGCTCCTTGAGAGCTCCTTGTGTTAATATGAATTATCTTTATAATCTTGGCTCCAAAAAGGGTGTTCCTGGCACACAGCAGGTGCTCAGTAATTGTTGACAAATAAATGGTTACTTTTAAGAAGCAAGAAAATCTTCTCTAGCTCTATTTCTATTATGTAAATACTTTCCTCTACCAAATTCTTTCATTCTTTGAACCACAATTCTTTCACCCCAAACACCACCCACTTAATCGCTTTCATTTTTTCCCAGCAGCTTTTTCATTTCCCTCTCCTGCTGCTACCTTTCCCTACTCTCCCTACTGTGTGGCATGGACTTCAGTCTTATGTTCCATGACAGAAATTCATTTTTGGTTCAGGGATCACACCTGCTACATTTGTAGGAGATGGGGGAACATTGAGAAAAACGACCAGGTTCCTAGATTCTCTGGAAAAAGTAAAACTTAAATATCTTTCAAAAATCAAAATTCCTGTTTAGATTAATTCAAGTTAAGTATGGTTCAGGAAGTAGATGTTGACATTGAATTACTGGAATCCAAGAACCAAGCAGGACAATAAAGAAGAGATTGGGGAAAAGGAACTGGAGGGCTTATGTGTGGGAAAGAGAACCAAGTATCTAGACAAAGAAAAGCCAAATTAATACTCACAGTGCTCACTCATCCTTATCCTTCCAACTCCTTCTTTTCAGCGTCCATTAGTAGAAACAAGAAACAAACTGGAAAAGAAGAAAATACTCCAATTTTTACCGTCATTGGAAAATACTATAGTTTCTAGTAGGTTCTAGTACTGACCGAACAAGTCATATTTTCTCATGGCTTTGGACTGTAAACTCATAAACAAATGAAACAAATAATTGGAAACGGTTTGCTATGGAAGAAATGAAGACAATTCAAATACAAAGATAGCAAGAGAGACCCCCTTGGATGGAAGGCCCTCAGAGAAAGTCTGACAGCTTTTTTTGCGGGGAAGGGGGTGGGGAATCATAACCCACAGATTCATTTCTCCTGCCCAAGGTGTGCTTCATCCTCTGGGAATTAGGCCCTCTTCCACAGGCAGCCATGTTATTTGGTGCTGTACCACCCCTTCCTTAGCTGGGGGCTTGTGCATGACTGGCTTAAGCAAATTTGATCCCTCCATCTTCCACTTGTTTTACTCCAAGCCGATTGACTTAAACACAGTCATGTGATACAACACAGGCCGGAGAGAGAGAGTGTGAGTTCCTGGACTTCACTGGGAGCTACCGGGAGAATGCCCTTTCCTCCCTGATTATGATTAGGAGATGCTATCCTGAAAGGGTGCCAGTGGTTTTATTACCACGAGAACAGAGCTAATGAAGTTCAGAAAATGGAAGACATGGGAGTCCTTGGAGACTTTAAGTCAAACATATCATGAAGCCAGCATAATTTCTGGTCTTGTTAGGTACACAAGCCAGTTCATTCGCTTTATTACAGTATTTCTTGTGGGAGTTTCTCATTTGTAAGCAAACCAAAACAATCAGGGGCTGGCACTGTAGCACAATGAGCTAGGCCACTGCTTGAAATATCACCTCTCAAGTTGAAAAGCCAATTCAAGCCCTGGATGCTCTGCTTCCAAACCAGCTTCCTAATGCACATGGGAAGGCAGAGAATGGTCCAAATTCTTAGGCCCCTGCTACGGTTGTGGGAAACTAACATAGAGTTCCTGGTACCTGACTTCAGCCTTCAGACTTGGCTACTTCAGCATTTGAGGAGATCCCTCTCTCTTTGTAGCTCTTTCAAATAAATAAATTATATAAAGCTTCTTTCAAACGAAAAAATCGCAATTGCTACAGAAATAACATCTAAGCTAAAAACTGAAAAAGCTCATGCCAAGAGAAGAGGAAGAAGAAGTGTTCTAGGCCCAGGAACCAGCCCTGAGAAAACTGTATGGAGAGAAAGAATGTGCCAAGAAACAAAAAGGCAGCCCTAGTATGGGAGTCATGGAAAGAGATGGGCATGCAAGGAACAGATCATACCTGCGAGTCTTTGGAAGAAGTGTAAAAGCGTGGATTTTGTTCCCAGAAAGTTAAAAGTTCCACTCAGGTTCCTGCTTCATAAAATTGTGATTGCTGAGTGGAGAAGAGATTGAATAAAAGCCTGAACCAAAAAAAGGGCCTTGGAAATGGGATTTGTAGATGCCCAGTCAAAAGGAGATAGTTGCTTGAGCTGCAATCATGGTTATCAGCAGGGAACGTGACCAGAAACTAGATAGTTTTATATCATTCTTTCATTCATGCCATATGGCCACAATGGAAGTGGCTGGAACAGACAGATGCCAGGAGCCTATAATGCCATCTGGATCTCTCACATGCTCACCAAGTGCTCAAGCATGCAGGCTATTTTCTGCTACCTTTCCAGGTAGCAAGGAGCCCGATCAGAAGTGGAGTAGCTGGGATTCGAACCAGCACACATAGGGGATCCTGGCATTGCAGGTGGCAGTTTAACTGGCTGTATCACAACAAGTTTCATGTATTTGTTCATTCATTTGATTCAGCCACAGAAACAAAGTCTGCCTGTACCAGTTAATCACAGGAGGTTTTCATTATCTTTTTCCAGTCTATAGTCTCTAAAGTCCACTACCCTTAAAGTTACCATTTATTTCCATCATGTTTCCCCAAAGCCTAACAATTGCATGAGCTGCTTTATTCCTTCTGAGGGGTAGCATTTTAGTCACCATTGGGAAAAGTTTAATAACTGCTTGGACACCGCGAGCCACGGGCTATATTTCCCCCGCTAACTTCTGGTGGCTCAGAAGTTATGCTCAGACACAGGAGTAATTCTGATTGACATCCACAATCCCACTGCAGGGAGGATCACTTCCCATTTTTGGGGGAGGGGGGGTGCCAGCTGTCATAGATGGAGTTCTTCAGGAAGCATATTTGAGGCGGATAGGAAGATGTGGGAGGTTCTTTGGGTATTAATTTTGAACCAACAGCTATAGAAGGTAATGAAAGGGAGTAGGATCAATCACAGAGAGAATGTGATCTGTGATCCAGTCCTCACATAAGCAATGTTCTGGAGCTGCGGGTCATGCTTCAGAGTAGTCCCAAGTTGAAAGGAGGGGCCTCCCTGCTTGCAACAATCGGGTCAGCCCCTAGAAGAAATGGGACCTTGGCAAGGCACTTCGTCTTTAGTCAACATGTCTCTAGAGAGGGCTGACAGCTGAGTGGCATCACCCAGAAGAGCCCATCCAGAAACCTGTTGGCATGGTGGGTCCTTCTCATTTTCACAAGGGGATCTAGCTGAGCTAGGGAACATACCTGCAGCCACATTTCCAAAGGAAATGGTGAAACCTGGAAACATGATGAAACTGCTGTGAGTGATAGTGACATATTTCAGTTTCACACAAGGAAGGAGATACTGTAGCAAGCAGTGAGATTTAAAAAATTTTTCTTTGTGACCAGTTCTACGATTTCAAGTGGCTTTTTATAAGGTCTTATCTCATTGCTGTATATATATTTTTAAAGATTTATTTGTTTTACTGGAAGGCAGAGTTACAGACAGAAGAAGATCCTCCATCCATTGTTGACTCCCCAAATGATTGCAAAGACCAGAGCTCAACTGATCTAAGGCTGAGATCAGGAGATCTCCCAAATGGATGCAGAGACCCAATGACTTGGGCCATCATTCACTGCCCTCCCAGGCAATTATCCAGGAGATAGATCAAAAGTGGAGCAGCTGAGACTTAAACAGCTGCCCCTAAGGGATTCCAGCACTGCAGGCAAAGGATTATCCTGATTCACCACTGCCAACCCCTCATTGGTATATTTAATACCTCAAATAGGTTACACCTGCATGGCCACATGAGGGACAAGATGAAAAACAGTTATTATTACTATTATTTTTGTTGTTAGACATCTCCCATCCACTGACTCACCCCAAATGTCTAAAATAGCTGGGACTGGTAAAGTATAGTGTCAGAAATAGTAGAACTTTATCTAAGTATCCCATTTGGGTGGCAGGGACTCAAATACCCAGACCATCACCTGCTATCTACCAGGGTCTGCATTAACAGGAAGCTGTAATTGGAGTACAGCACTTGTATATATGACAGAGGCATCCCAGGCCCTGCGCTAACCACTGGGACAAATGCCCCATCATGGGTTTCTTTTTAAGACTCAATTGCAGGGCACGGCGCAATAGCATAGTGGTTAAAGTCCTCGCCTTACAAGCCCAGGATCCCATATGGACGTTGGTTCTAATCCCAGTGGCCCCACTTCCCATCCAGCTCCCTGCTTGTGGCCTGGGAAGGCAGTCGAGGACAGCCCGAGGCTTTGGGACCCTGTACCTACGTGGGAGACACTGGAGAAGCTCCTGGCTCCTGGCTTCAGATCAGCTCAGCTCTGGTTATTGCAGCCGCTTGGGGAGTGAATCATCAGATAGAAAATCTTCCTCTCTGCCTCTCCTCCTCTCTGTATATCTGACTTTCCAATAAAAATAAAATAAATCTTAAAAAAAAAAGACTCAACTGCAGTGTAAACAGCTCAAAAGATGCCAAAACAAAAGTCATTTCCCATAGTTGATTTTTTTTCACTTGTTGCAAAGCAAGCTATATACTATTTCATATATCTAAAGATACTTAAATGTGGCTAAAAAACACATAAATACTTTCAGAGCCAAATAGAATCCAAGAAGAGACTAGGAATCCAATTTGTGCTATCTTCTGATGTGCAGCATTCAACTGTCTCACTGTGGGTGTGATAAGCTCTTCCACTGGGCATCAGACAAAGTGGTGGATGTTGTCTTCGGGATCACTGTCGCCATCATCTTGGCTTCTGTGTGTGACTGAGTCATCCCTAGCCAAACCTAGTGAGACATTATGTTCTAATGAATATAAATGGGACAAGGAATAAACAAATTAAGAAGATGAGAAGAAATGAAAAATAAGTTAAGAAATTGACATAGTGCACACCTGACCCATGGCTCAAGTAGGTGGCTCAATGATGGACATCTTAGTGAAGAATTGCCAGCAACATCAAACATGTCATTACAATGAGACAAATACGACTTAGTTTTGGACACTTATAGCTTATTTTTTAACTTGTGATGCATGCAACTTTGTAACCAATTTGTTGTAAACTACCTACATTGGTGGAGAGGGTTCTTATATTAAACACACATCCCACATACAAACGCGTGCATACCTCCCTCCCTACACATCAACACTATCAAACATTCATCAATTTATCTGCCATGCACTTATGTGTCCATCATATGAGAAAGCCAAGCACATTGGTTAATTTTGTGATTAAATGTTTGAATTCCATGCATAGTTTTCCTAATAATATGCGTTTTCCATGAACATTTCGAAAACCCTTCATATCATACAAGATGTTATTCTGGGAAAGCAGTCCTAAGGTGAAAGTCCACAGGCTCAACACAGTATCCCCGGAGGGAGGCACTGTCCTTTTTCACACCCCCGCCCACAGCAATTTTTCCAGATGGCAAAGATAGAAGAACAGCCAGCAGAAGAGAAAAAGAGGCCCTGTAGCTAGTCACTGGGAATTTCGTTGGTCAATCCTATTATGCTTTGTCCTTTCTTCATATTTTAATAACCTCATTCCAAATACCTTGCTAACTGAACCTAAATCACCTCTTTTTGTGCAATACAGTACATCCCTGATGCTCAATAATAACTTCTTTGTTCTGCTTTCCCCCTTGCGCAGTATAGTTCCATTCATTATCTAACCTTCCATTT